CACTCCATACAGAAGCACCGGGATTACTGTCATTCTGCATGATGGTCATGTTCTAATGACACGATAGACTGTTCACCTCTTCCACATTTGAGGAACGCCCTTTCCCAACGATTTCTTAAATCACTGCCGATTTTCCTATTGTCTTGCAGGACGGAACCAACGTACTTGACTTCTTGGGCGGTTTCCGCAATACTCCTCACCATTTTCATTGATTTGTTGATTTTCACTCTGTTCTCTCCACTGAAATAGCCGGCCATATATTTTGACTTGCCTTTACCGAACCGAAGGCCGTTCTTCTTGTTTCGGTTTCAGCTTCTACTGCCTTCCTGATTTCACTGCTCAGCATAACTTAATCCGTACGGAGCAGATAGAAAGGGGCTGCTCCAGCCAGATCTTCTGCTATCGTGTTCTGTCATCATCAAGAGCACAAATGGACTCAGTGATATTCCATGATTTTATTACGTAGTGCATGAGCCAAACCATCTTTCTTGCTTAAATGCCTTCTATGCTTCTATGGAAATTCTGTCCTGACCAACATGTTTAATAATTTTCATTCAGCCCAAGAGTTGTCCCATTTCATCGAGTGAGATGATTTCGGCCAATCCCTTGTTTCGTGGGATCTCATCTGAGGCCTCGCTTGGGTGTACTTCGCTCAGTAGTGTTTGGAAATGCCTTCGGCTTCGGTTGCGAATATTTTTCTAGTCAGTCAACACCCCTCCGTTTTGGTCTTTTATGCACTTCGCTTTGCCAAAGTTCCGTCGCATTTGCTTCCTGTGGCTTTTGCTGTTTTGCTGGATGTCCTTCGACAATTCCTTGCACTTTTAATATTTGCTTCCATGTTAGCTATCGCATCTTTTATTCTGTCTTCCGTATTGTATGATTGCCACCCTTTCTTAAAAAGATCTTCCTTCTGCTGTAAAATAGCCTGTACTTCCGCTTTCCACTACCTCTGTTTCTTTGTAAATATGTTGGTACCTTTTGTTTCCTCCATTAACACTCTGGTATTCTCATCCATTGTGATACTCCGGTCCATACTTCCCGGAGTCTTCCAAGTTCCAGTTTTCTTTAATCATTTTGCTCATGACTTAATTCTTTATCGCATCTTGTCGCATAACTTCGAGATTCAACCACTTTGTCTTCAGAACTGACATAACCTCAATGGACCATTTCATATAACGGCCTAGAACCAGTAACTGGTGCGACAGACACCTCTGGCGTAACCTCAAAATATCTGACGACCTTCAATTGGTTCCTGCAGAGCAAGAGATTGTCGATTTAATTTTTCATCTGCCTATTCTTGTAGGTTTGCAGGTGGCTTTTTTGAATTAAAAACCCGTATTTTTCAGAATTATGTCATATACTGTTGTTTTCTGCAAGATGTTCACTCTTTCTGTATCTCGATGCCATATCCATGTCTGTCCATCGTTCCTGTGGCAACCCATTTCCCGCGATGGCTATTGAGGTCATCCTAATTACACCTTCAAGATATGCGTTGCTGTGTAACGTCTAGATGTACCTCGTTTTTGATCGATCTGTTCAGTAATACCCCAGTTCCATTTCTTATGCTTGAGGTTCCATAATACATGGAATTGTTTGTCTAGAATGATATCTTTCGACCTTTCGCCTTTTCATTTCGCGTCCCAAATTCAAAGGATCTGACAAGCTTTCGCTGGACTACACGTTCTAAGTAGCTGTTCGAATTTTATCCTTTCTTTATTGATATGGCAGTCTGCTCCTCGTCGTCGTGCAGACTGATTCCCTTGTGCATTTCATACAACAGCGAGGATTTGCTGCAGCGCGTTGCCTGTGGGGTAACGTCCTAATATTCATTCTAGAGGTAAGTTGACTCATCAAATTTCGTTTTAGCCCTGGTTTTCATGACCGGTTGCCTGCCTGGCGCCAACACTTCTTTCTGACTTGGGTTTGGAACCGGTCACATCTCGATGGTTGATTGCGGCCTGTGCTCGTCATGCCAACTTTGACAATATTTGATTAACCGCACCCTTGTAGCACCGTCGTCACACTGTCAACTAATAACTATTCGTCAAGTTCTCCACATATTTCGCAGCTAACCGTCACGTCTGAGGGTTATTCCACTTTTCGTAACTCATCGATGCCCTCGGCGACACTTGTTATTCGAAGCAATTAAAGGTACTAAAGAATCCGCGGTACTGGTGACCAACCAACAAGAAGTTTTCGCCTTGCAAGCTGGAACGTTCGCTATTTGACTGAGGAGAATAAGTACGTTCGATTATGACTGCCTCATGACCAACGATAAAATCTCGATGCACTATCAGGTCACGGAAAATCGTCGTACTTGCAGAGTGGGAGGTCGTTTTGGCCCTCAGGTAAGAATAAATTACGTCGAACTGATGTGGGTATCCTCTTTGCCGCTACGGTAAGCTGGGCTGTCATTTCGGTGGTACAGGTGTCTCAGAGAATTCGGACATGTCGCTTGAATGTCACTGCTGCCTCTGCATAAAACAGTATGTCGAGGAACAGTGCCAAAGACAGTTTCTATGACTATTGCTGTCAACTCTTCCTGGCATCAGGCCGTCATTTTTGTCGCAAACGACCACAACATAAGGTGGGCACGAGTACAACACATGATAGTCACCGATTGGTACAGCGAATGAAAATAGCACATTTTTGTTAGGCCTTTCCGCGGCAGACAAATTAATCGTTGGCAGCACGCTATTCCATCATAAGCATATCTATCATTTTGCATGTGCATCCCCTGACGGAAGCCTACAGTCCAAAAGGGTACACGTACTCACTTCGATTGAGCAGAGATTGCACTTAGTCCGATTCCCACATGGTCGTAGCTGAAGCTCGTCTAAAACTAGCCACGTCGCCTGGTGGAAACAAATCAGCTCTCGATGGTGACAGGCCGAAATATGACGAAGCTGCGTGATCTACCTAACAAAAGAACGTAGAGATTTATTTCAATGTCACCCTTAATATCCAGCCAAGAAGAGGTAACGTTGCTGGAGCTGACAAATACTTCAGAGAAGGCGTCATTTCCTCATTGAAAAATGTTGTTTGGTTGAGGCAGAGGAGAGCGCAAAGCTTCCAGACAAAGAAGTCGTATTTGCAGCACAATAGTTAAACTACAGAAACATCCTCGCCATCTGGTTTGATGGATCAACAAGAACTACAGAAGAAACGGAATTTTTGTTGTAGAAGAAATCATGAAAAACGATGAGGCAGTTAGAAAAAATTACTGGTAAACAGTTGAGTTCGGCGGTTGTCCAGTAAGCAGGAAGCTCAGCTATCAACATCCAAGGCGATAAGGTTATGCCTTTGACAGGTAATAGAAATCGCCTGATAGAGAGATCTGAGAATTTCGTGCAAATTTTCAGTAGCTGTCAGATACACTGATTCATCTTTTCTGACCGCTAACTGATTGCTAACTCTAGCAGTTAGTTTAGATCCACCCACAAAATCGAAACTCCAAAGAGACTTGCTGCACCTCAGTGAGAAATAGGCCTGCTGAGTGGATTGAATTCTTAATGAGTTAATATGGTACAGGAACAAGAACGGTCCAAGACCTTATGTCATCAAATATGGACATGGGAACGTTTCCTTTGAGGAAAGAATTGTGAAGTAATTGTCCCAGTATTTACAGCGCGACCGAATGTTCCAGTTGTCATGGCATCACGCTACAGTCAACTCCAGGGAAACGGAGATTTCTCTTGGACAATTGTGGAGCGGCTGAAGCAAGCGGTTCAAGGGAGACTTCACCGAGATCAACGAGGCTTCTAATGGAATAGTCTAGTCCTGACAAAAGTTTCACCGTGTAAAAGATAATTGTCCTTGCCGACGACTAGAGTTGTCTTGGTTTGTCACTTTCCTACTATTCAAGATTGGTTCAAGATTTGGTTCAATGCATTTTCAAACACTAGCACATCGTTTTTATTTTAGAAGAGATGCATTCAGACACGATGCCCGTTGTCAAAGTCGAAAGCGAGCTCTCTAAATAGTTACGTATTAACTGTGGAGTTCACCAGGATAATGTTCTTACACCTTTGCCATTCAGCATTGTTCTCAAATTTCTCTGAAACACCACTGACCCTCTCAACGGAAACGCACAGTTCAAGATCGAGGGTAGGTTTTTCAGTGTCTTGTACCAAAAGGGCAGTGAATAATATGAAGAACTGGCTTCGACACTCGTGGCTTCCGTATTCATTACAGGTATGACAGCCGGGTTCCTTAAAACCCGAAAGTCTTAGGTTATAAGAATTTGGTACAGCGATGCAGCGATTGTTACAGGTAGAGTGGGGATACAAAACGGTTCATGAGGCTGACAGATTTAAGTATCTCAGCGCCATCATGTCCTATGACTGTAATATTCAGCCGGAGAAAAAATGGAGGAATCACCCTAGCCTCGAGTCTATTCGCTCTAGACTTGAGCCTCAAAAACCAATCCAATATTTGGCTGAGAAAGGAGTAACATTTTCAATAAATTGGTCTGTATCTTACCTCAGTCAGTCAATGTTGCATAATGGTTCGAGGAGAGTTGTTTCAACGACGAAACGAGAGCACCGTTGAACTGCGTACAGTAGCCTTGGCTTCACCTCAAAATGAAGGTTAAATGCCCGGAAATAACTTTATTCTCTTTTGAATACAGATAACCTCAGTGGATGTGTTGCCTAAGAAATGAAGATTGGATCAGTTGAAGAAACTGAGTGTGCATAAACCACTGACTCGAGTCCATGATCCTCTTATATGGGACAAGAAACACAGCAGACATCGATGTGACACCAGCATGAAATATGGAGGAATACAATTAGGGCAGCTCTGCGTCAGGGAGGAGTATTTTCTTCCACGAAGCAGAAACCAGTACCTTGCAAAGCAATGTTCGAAAGTTGCGAATACTGTGGATATAACAAACCAAGGACGTTCTGCCTATGTATTGGCTAAAGTGACGATGTCCACATGCATGTAGGCTCATCGTCAAAAGTGACCCTGCCGGTAAAAGTAAAAAGTTACTGTAAAATATATAATCCGAAATTCAAATCTTTCCGGTATTTGCATGAATGATTCTTCGCATTCAAATTTAGCCTCAAACTTTCTAGCGCCGCATTTTTTATTTATAAATTTCATAATTTAATGTATTTCTGAGGAGTGGTCAGCGATGGATTATAACTATGGTTGGTGCTAAATTACATCATTCAGGTTAAGAGGTTACTGGTTAAAAGCATCGATTGGATGCAACGCCCCATTTTGCCTGAGTCACAGCCTTCAGTTGGTTACACTCTCACACTTTGTACGGTTAAACACTCGGTGCATTCATTTCGGTTGTATCTCAATGTACTGCGAATGCTGGACTGGTGACCTGCTTAGGTGGAAGACCTGGATATTTAGAAACGAGGGAGCGTACGAGAGTTGCTGCTGACCTGATGTATTGTCTTGCAAATCGAATTCTATTGCAATATTGATGCAAACAGGCTGTATTTGGAAGCAAATTTAGACTTTGGAAAAGTCTAGGAATAAAACGAGTTTGGAACGGTTCTATAATTTCTTCCGTTGTTTTTTTCCTGTTTTGTGCCGACCTTCGGAAACAGTTTCGTTCTTCCTTCCACAGAAACAGTGTTGACAAGGCAGTGACAATGGGCAGGAAAATTCAGACGCTGGGACAAAACCATTCGATGTATACTTTATTTCATAGTTAATAATTATGAAAAATTATTCAACAATAATTCACCTGTACACCTGAACGCTTAAATAAATTCTGTCTTCGATCCTCATCATGGAAAACAATGAATAACAAATATAATTGACTGCATCACCGAACTAAGTACGTCGAAGTGCGTGCTTTAAAATCTATATGGTGCCCGTGAAGGCTTTCTCTTATTATCCCCGAATTAATCCGCTAACGCCACAGCTGTAACCGTGGTTGGGAAGCTTTTTTAATTTAAGCAACTAAATGTAGGAGTGACCTACTTAAAAAAAACTTCGTTGAAAGAAAGAGTCGTATCTGTTCGTCATTACATTTATCCTTCGAACAGAGAACGAACGTTCTTTGGCAGTAACGACAGAAGAATCTGACATGGCGTATGATAAAGAGGAAAGAAAGCGA